TGTCTGGAGCCCTGCACAACCACTAAGGAAGAAAGAAAAAGGTTTCCCAGTTAGATGGTACACAGAAACAAATGGGGGGGGGGGAGATACCAGACATACCAATTCCAGACGTGAACTAAAAATTCATATGGGCTGCAAGTCTTGCCGATTGCTTCCACATTTCACATTTAAGATTTCTTGCCAGATCATTTTCAGAATATTGCTAACAGGTAGTTCTTGCACATAGACACAAGTCCCAAATGTCACTCTTTAAAATCCCAAGAAACAGGACAGGAAAAATAAAAAAAGAAACAACCCAGAAGAGACCATTTGAATGTACATTTAAACCCACCTACATTCCTTTCTCAGAGCTGCGGTTAGTAGATGCTACATTTACAATTTAAAATGTATGCCTAACAAAAAGCATGTTTCAAAACTATTGCACAAAAAGCATAAAACAATGCTCTTTAACCATACAAAAAAGTACACGAAAAAAAATAATCAAACGCGAGACCAAACGAGACATTATACGTAAATCGGCAACTGCCAATGAAAACAGTGGCACTCTAATCTCATTCCTGCCCTCCTCCACCAACCACTCCATGACATCCAGCACAATTAACCTGCCCTCCCAGAACTCTGCTGCAGGAAGAGGGAGGAGAAACAGAATTTCACCATGGCGGAGCACACTGGTAAATTTTACTAGACATTATGATTGGTTGGTCAGAGAGGCAAGAAAGCGTATGTCTACGGCTGCCATTTTTGGCACCAGCTGCCCATTAGTGTAATGTGTAATTTGGCTCTGAAAAGAAAAAAGAAAGAAGCTTGTAAAAACATCTCACAATTTCATTTTATATGCCCATAAATAAAGCTGGACCATCAAAACCAAAAAAAAAAAAATACTTAGATGGTAAAAAGTAAGATAGAAGGCTTAAAATAGAATAAATAATTTTATAAAGTTAACTTTTAAACCCCCAAAAATCTTATTTAAAATTCAATATTATATATTCTGATTTCTCTATTTTAAAAGAAAAGGTATACCAAGCGAGACCATGAACCTGCGTTATGTTCGTCTCTTTGTTGCCGAGGATAATGCAACAAGACTATTTTTACTGCATTTATTTACCAGCTTTAAGCAGTCATTAAAAAAAAAAAAAGACTTCACAGTAACTTTATATATCGCTTTTACAGACCAGGAGAAACTCCGTGTGGCCAAAGCGAGCCCAAGTCACCCAAGCCAAATGTGATTTGAAGACCTTAAAAGCCAGAAGATCAACTGAATGTTTCACCAACAAAGCCACCAGGCAATCTTGCCTCTTAAAAGCTTCACAGAAGAGAGACAAATTGTATCACAAGGATCTTCACTGCTGGAACTAATTCTATATAGTTGTTCTGGTTTCTTTTCTTTTCTTTTCTAAAAAAAAAGCCCAGCTAGGTCTTCTAAACCACAAACACCCCAAGGAACACAGTTTCCACAGAAAGGGAGGGTGGGGGAGAGGTATTCTGAGAAGCTGTTTAAAACAAAAGGGGAGGGGAAGCAATTTCTGCCCTGGCTGTCCTCATCAGGCTGTTATAAAAGCAGAGATAAACTTAAGAGCAATAAAACCAGCTTAGGTGTCAACGGCTGGATTTGGTTTCATGCACCCAACTAGATATATATATATTTAAATATATTTATATAGCACCGTATCAAATTCAAGTGATTCAAAAACTTGCTAGAAACTTAGCAATACAGGTTCCGTAGACTGTTGCAGTCAAGAGACGTGGGCTCGTATTTTGCATCTTGGTACTATTTAATACCTCAGTTTAAGTTACACAGGATAAGATCCATATTCCATATTTCACGATGGCGAAGGTCTTAACAATCCGGCTGTGTATCTAGTCTGAGGTAGACTGAATAGCTGTATATAGTCATTAAACCCCTTCTTTAAAAAAAAAAAAGTTTAACTGAATCAAGTGACTCTTGGGCAGGGCCTCCCAGGTTAAGGCTCACGAAGCAGTGTTAGCCAATGCATGTTCAGATAGCACCACGAAGCCTTTGAAATTAGGGGAAAAACTCAAGTTTAAGGCTGTACTGTTGTGGGGGTTTTTTTTGATGGCCTCATGCATACTCTCCCCAAAAAACCCCTACGTTCTTCCCATTAATAAAACTTCTTAAAAATCATCTTAGAAGGTATTTTCCGGACAGCAGCCAGCAGTAAGCCTTGTCAAATAAGCAACTGCTTTACCATTAAGAATACCACCTCAATAGAACTAAATGTTAAAAGGCACGATCCAATGAGAAAAATCTCCCGGGCAAGCCCCACTGCAGTCAATGGGAGGCCATTAGAACATGCTTCCTCTCCCATTCATTTCAATGGGACATGAGGCCCAGAAGAGCGCCTTCGTGTTTTCCTCCCTGCTACTGCTAGTCTACAGCTTCGCACACTCGTCCTGACATTTCACACTTGCTCAGCTTCTGCCCCTTCGGATCCTCTATTTGATTCCTTTGAGCCATTGTAATGGGAGAAAAAGAATGCTACGTAAGTCATCGTTGGAGAAATGGGCTTCTGAAATCGTAATGCGCCAATGGAGGGCAGAGAAAAGGATGTCTGAGAATCATACAGAAGGGGTAGTCTGTTTGCAGCAAAAACAAACAGCACTCTAATGTGCAGGACACTATATTCCAGCATAAGCTTTCATGCACTAAAACCCACTTGTTCAGATTCTACATGGATCCTCACTATCCTGTCATCTGATACAGGAGGGATGGGAAAACACTGCAACAGCAAGGTCAACTGGACATAAAAACGCAAGAGGATTGAAATGCGATTATGTAAAAATTATCGAGACCACGTGCTAGTTGCACTAAATTATTTAATCTCTGTGAAGGGTGGGGAGTCCCAGATGTTGCTAAGCTAATTAATACTCATAGTGAGATAAAAATCTGAAATCGTGGCCACCTGAAGAAGGGTGATCAAGTACATACACTCTTATGCTGGAATAACATTTTTGTTTGTCTTCAAGGCACCACAAGACTCCTGTTTACTTCTGATATCCGGGAAGAGCGCTTGGCTATTTCCAAGAAGGGTGATTTCCCACCCCCTTTATCCTAGTGAGTTGGAAATGGAATAACCAGAACAAGGAAAGGAAGTGATAACACCTACTCCTTATTGGCCAAACTGAAGGATCTCTTCTGGTGGTGGCACCATTTATACAAGACGATGGAAAAGAATAGGATTTGAACGGAGAGTCTGTAAAATAGGAGTAGATGATCTCAAAGGTTTTCCGGGGGGGGAAACCACTGCATCCTACTTCAGACTACTGCACAGGCCGTGCCCCAAAGATTTTAACTCCTTGCCGTACCCTTGGCCTAGGCGCGCTCAACAACGGACCACCCATGACCACAGAGCAAAGGAGCTCAGAAAAAGAAGAAATTTAGCAAATACGCTAAAGATTCAATCTAGATCACTGCTCGGGTAGAAGGCCCTAGGTAGAAAAGACCCCCAAGGATGGGGAACTTCCGACCCCCCTCTTTGCTCTTCTGCCAGTCTCTCTGAAACACACCTCCCTCCCCACGAACCCTTATTCATGTGGCTACTCCCTGCCAGCCACCAAACCCCAGTCCCACCCGTGTTAATCAGAAGTGGGGCTATAATGAAAAGAGAGGGGCAAGAGCTCGTTTCAAGACAGCATTCTACACTCCAGCAAACCATCGCGAGACATTAACGAGGACAGTCCTCTTGCCTTTTATTCCCAGTAGCGGTTCACCTCCTTGCTGTGTATATATACTGCAACCAAGCTGGTGCGTGAAGGAGGAAGGGCTGGTTTGTGTACATGCAAAGAATACACATGCCTCCATGTGCCTGTGCGAGCACGAGTGAGAGGGGAAAAAACACATGCCTGTGTTCTGGGGAACATGCAGAAATGAGAATGGGCATGCCTGTTCTTGGGTACAGCCACACCAGCTGATTTCAAAACCACGGTCCCAGATGAAAGAGGTTCCCCCACTCTTGCCCTGCATGTCTTTTGCCAATGAAGGGTAGCATGTCACACCTCATTTGGGGCATACTGTGAAACTGAAGGAATCATTTCCAAAGATATCCACACTGAGGGGAGGGGGAGGGGGCGGAGTTTCAGGATGCTTAAAGGAAAGCAGCAAACTACCTTGTATCAACTGTTTACAGAAAGAGAGTGTGCCTTGTTTAGGGGGTGTAATGCATTCCGTGGAGGGGACTGGATTAAAAACAAACCCAGATTTACAGATTTAAAGGCCAGGAAGTTATCATATTACCAACTCATTCTGACACTAGAATGGCAGTTCAGCAGAGAATCCAGCTGAATGCAAACGGTCTTAAATTAGGGAAACTGAAAGCAGCCAGAAGGTCAATGCCCTAACGCAGGCCACAGAAAATACGCTGCAGTATTCATTCACACAGCCAGCTGTTCAAAGAAACAATACTGGAGTTCAAGTAAGTAGGGCTGCTAACAGCTCATTTCACTTATGGGAGAGGCAAACCCCTCAGTCTGCAAAGCCCCTTTAACACCGCAAGGGAGAGTTTCTTCCTAAGCATTCCGCACTTTGAGGATGTGACTGGATAAGATGGCAATGAAGTTGGGGTAGGGGGAGGAGAGAAGCACCAACTGAAACTCTTCCAATAACCTCAACCAAACGAGCCCGACAGACAAAGGGGCGTAATCCCAGAAGCAGCGGTAACACAGCAAAAGGTAACAGCTGGCCATTAGATCTTGTTAAATATCCTAAAGAAGGGTGTACTCAAAAGACAAGATGGATATGAGGTATAAAAGACAGAACGCCTTGCAAAATAAAATATACCACCCTTCCATTAAGTTGTGAAGCGACAATAAATCCTAAATTATTTCCTTCGCGACGTTTTGTTGCTGTTGTTTAACCTATGGGTGTCACTGCAAGAATGACAGCCAAGAACCAAGCCACACGTGGGGGGGGGGGGGGAGTGTTTTCGATGTCTGTAAACTCCATGCTGGTAGTGTCCTCTTGAGTTGCAATCTCCATTTTTTTTTTTTTTGTAGAAAAAAGTATAAATATTTTCCTGTCCACAAAGTCGGGTTTAATGCATCTCTAGGAGAAATATTCAGAAGGATGGCTGGATGGGAAAGCGCTACTGTTTTCGGGAATGGATTCTGCTGGTTTGTATCACGGGTGAATTGCGTGATGCACGAAGAAGAAGAAGAAGAAGGTGCCTGATGATAGTCTCTGCAAAAAAAACCGTCCAGAAGGACAGAATAGTTCTTACAGCAAGTCCATTTTGGGTCTGTAATGTAGCAGTAGAGGTGCTTTCTGAAAGATTAAAAAAACAAACACACATTCGCTTGAGGGAAAGGCCAACAGAAGCTTATTCAAATGTGGAATGTCAGCAAAAGCAAAACATTTTCAGCCTTGGGTTTTTAGCTCTTTCACAGCAAAGCTACTTGGAAGGTCAGAGCATCCCAACAGTGGCACAGACCTTCCCCACCGCACCACCGGTCAAGGAGGAGCTCCCTCACGCCTAAACAACCCAGCACAGGAGATTTTCCCGTCAGAGGACACCCCAAAGACCTGTATGACAGCAAGGAGGATGGACCTACAGGATATTCTTGACATTCACATGGGAGAAGCATTGCACATTGCAGCTTCGACCTGGGACATGGAGGGCCAGTCAATTATATACTTTGAGATCTACTGAGAGTCAGTGGGGCTCAGTGTCAGAGGACCCAGATTCGTAATCCCCACTCTGCTGTGGCAGCTTGCAGGGTGACCTTGGGCCAGTCACACACACTCAGCCTATCCTACCTCACAAGGTCGTTAGGAGGATAAAATGGAGGAGAAGAGAACGATGGAAGCGGCTTTGGGTCCCTCTTGGGGAGAAAGGCAGATACAAATGAAGTGAAAGAAGTATTATTTTTATTCTGTCCTGCCTCCAAGAGGTTTAAAGCAGCTTACACGGTTCTCACAGGTGGAGCTGCCTTAAACTGAAACAGACCGTTGGTCCCATCAAGGTCAGCACTGGCTACTCAGCGGCTTCCCAGGGTCTCAGGTTGAGGCCTTTCACATCACCTACTACCTGGTCCTTTCACTAGATATGCTGGAGACTGAACCTGGGACCTTCTGACTGCAAGCAGATGCTCTGCCCCTGTGCCACGGCCCCTCCCTTCATTCATTTTATCCTCACAACCACCCCGTGAGACAGGTGAGGCTGAGACAGTGTGCCTGGCCAAAGGTCACCCAGTGAGCTTCAGGGCTGAGTCAGGATTTGAATTCAAGTCTCCCCAGTAGATCGGCACTCTAACCGCTACACAGCACTGGGCCACAAGGAATCTGAGAAAGGCTGAACGCCGCCTGTTGGCCGCTAGTTCACAACCCCTAAATTAAGTCACAAATACTCACAGGCCGAGTCTAAAATGTTAAATGCACTGATCTACCAGCGATGACGACGACGTACCTTAAATCTCCATCTTGTAACAACTACAAATTTGAGAGTGTGGTCCTTGCCCAGGATTTCTTCATTGCATAATATATCCAGCTAATTTTAAAAAAAGAAAAAAGACCAGGTTTATTTCACACACAAAAAAGATCAATTTACATCAAGACAATCGAATACCCTGTAGCAGCAAGGTGTGCGATCTAAACCAAGCTACAAAATATTTACATAGCTCATTCCTTGGAGGGCCATCTCTCCCATTAAGAGCCCTTCGCCATCTCAGGTTCTGCCAAGGTCTCCTCCCTGGTGGAGCCCTCTCTTGGAGCTCTCTGACCAGTGCAGGCCCATCCTTTTCCCCGTGGCAGCTGCAGCATGCTGGGCCACCACTCCCAAGTGGGCACGGGGAGTCCCCAAGCCAACTGGCCTTCTGACAGACGTACGGCCGTTTTTTCTAGGTGGGCCTTTGGCAGCTCATTTAATCTTGTCCTTGTCTGGTTTTTGTTTCATCCTCACAACCGCTTTTGATTGCCTGTGGGTCACCGCTGCAGTCTTGTTGTTTCTGGCGAGTCGCTACAGTCAGCAGGCAAGGTGCAATGCAAATATTTTAACAAATGAATCTGAGCCACGCGGCGGGGAAGTAATATTCAGACACTTACTAGTCTTGCACATACTTGCTTCGGGACTTAAAACTGCACACTCCGCTGGTGTGGAGAAAAATGAAACGTTGGGTCGTGATGTGTGCACCCCTCCCCTACAAAGGACCCAAAGCCCCTCCCTTACAGAAAAAGGTTCCCAGCTCTGGCTTTGGTTAGCAAAATGAGTGCGTGTGCAATGAGTTCTGAGCACTCCTGCAGATAGATCTGAGTTCATGTAGAACTGGCTTCTGGCCAGGATTCAATGTGAAGAGAAGGCCTGAGGAAAGCGTGTAGAAGCAACTGTTTAGTAACTGTTACTGGAAAAGTACATTTACAGGCATCCCGCCCTAGAGCACGGGGGGAAACAGCCAGCGCAAAACAGACAGGATTCCAATGGACACCAGGAGCAGCAGTGATGAACCAGGACCACCTTAAATGGGATGAACAAGTGCAGAATGGAGGTCCTATATTTGGCTGGGCTTTAGCTTACAGGACAGGGCTTTGCAGGCCATGATTGTTGTAGGAAAGGGTACCACGGGGCTCAGAAACCAGAGCCCTTCTCTGTTTCTTGCCTCCCCACGCCAAGTAAAATCCCTGATTTTCCACCCCATTGACATAATAGCTAAGCCTATCCATGAAGGGGGACGCAAACGGATGTGTCAGGCACATGAGATTCCTACCCACATCACAATTTAAGACTGCTTGGGGGGGGGGGGATATATTACCAACATTCTGGAACCAGTTAATTCGTGCTTAAACTTTGATCCATTAAACAAAATCCCCTTCAAAAAAATGCTGCCTTTGGACAAAAGGCCAGATTTGGGGGGGGGGGGGGGGGGGGGGAGTCAAGGCAGATTCATGGAGAATCAGTACAGCAATGGCTACCAGCCACAAGGACTAAAGAGAAGATCTACATTGAGAGGCAGTAAAACGTTTTCAGACCCTGTACATTGTCCCTCTAGGGCAACTGGATGGCCACTGTGTGAAACAGGATACTAGACCAGATGGCCCACTGGTTTGACCCAGCAGAATCCCCAAGAGAACAGACAGCCCTTTTTTGAAACAAAAATCAGTAAAGTCACAAACCTGCAGAACAAAAGAGCGTCCTCCCTTGTAAGAAGAAGAGTTGATTTTTATACCCCAGCCTTCACTACCCGAAGGAGTCTCAGAGCGTCTTACAATCTCCTTCCCTTCCTCTCCCCAGAACAGACACCCTGTGAGGTAGGTGGGTCCGAGAGAACTCTTTTGAGAACTGCTCTTGAGAGAACAGCTCTGAGAGAGCTGTGACTGACCCAAGATCACCCAGCTGGCTGCATGTGGAGGAGTGAGGAATCAAACCCAGTTTTCCAGATTAGAGAGCTGTGACTGACCCAAGATCACCCAGCTGGCTGCATGTGGAGGAGTGAGGAATCAAACCCAGTTTTCCAGATTAGAGTCCGCCGCTCTTAACCACTATACCACACTGAAGGTTGAGTTTCAAGGCTATTTTGGCATGACAAGAAACTTTTTTTCCCCCAATGCATGAATGCTCAAAATCAGCAAGGCCAAAATCACCATCCATGTGGCTTCTCACACAATATCCAGCTATTTCATCAGGATTCTGGGGTGGTCACAGTGATATCGGTTTTCTTTTGGAAGCAAATTTATATAACCTTCAGGATGAAGAGGAAAGCCTGAAATCATTTTGGCTGCTTTTATCAGATATCACTGATGAACAGAAAGGCTGGGGTTCATTTACGGTAAGCCGCTAAAGCCAAGGCGCTCTACATCCCTGTGCCCCTAGAGGTTCCATTATAAATGCATCAAGATGCAACTGAGGAACAATAGGACTGAAGATGAAAAGCCCCAGAACTAGATCTTCAGGTGGTCATTTTTTTGATATTATGGGCATTGTCCCAAGGAATATTTCCACATGTCACCACTTGCTGTTAAGCTACCAGAAAGCTTCAAATTAAAAAAAATAATAATCTCCAAACACTTCTGATGTGAGTTTCTTTAAAAAAAAAAAAAAAAAAACTTAAAAGTCCACAGTGGTATGCTTAATTTCCTCCACACACACACACAAGCTCACCCCTCCCCCCCCCCCCCCCCCCCCCCCCGAAGCGAGCCCCGGCAGCTCCTGCCGCTTTTTGGCAATGAACTTCTTTAGATGCAAGACTGTGGCCTGAGCCGAGCAGCGGATCCATTTTCTCTTCAATCCACGTAATTTGCTGCTGTTGCATTCCAAGCAGATGCTCACCTGTCGGGGAAAAGCAAAAACAGCCCATGTTTGTTAATGTGTAAGTACTGGTTTTGTGTAAGTACTGGTTTTGCAGCAGTAAAAACTGAGAAAGGAGAACTCTGAACTTCATGAATATTCACCTTCCAATTAAGTATGAAGATGTTCACTGTATTGCAGCGAAAATTCTATAGACCAATGATTTCCAAACCTTAAGTCACAACTCTCTTGCAAGAGGGTCGTGAGGCCAAGAGGAAAGAGGAGGGAGGAAGAGGATGAGCGGGGAAAGGAACCTCAATGGCATATTTGGTTTTGTCCCCGCATAATCAACAAAACAGCCATAAAATACATCCTATTGCCAGTGTTCCTTCTAAGCTGAGTTAGTGTGAGCTAGCTCACAGTTTTTAGCCTCTGGCTCACCCATTTTTTGTCTTCACTCAGGAAGGAGGGCTCCAGAGCAAACCAATTTATGCAGCAGCTAAATCGCTCACTCACAACTTTAATGCCAGTAGCTCACAAAGTAGAATTTTCGCACAGGACTCCACAGCTTAGAGGGAGCATTGCCTACTGCTCAGGACTGCTATATAGTTTATGACTACTCTGATGTTCCCTCTAAGCTGAGGAGTCTTGTGAGCAAAAATTCTACTTTGTGAGCGACTGGCATGAAAGCTGTGAGCGAGCAACTTGGGACATTAGTAATGGATCCTAATGGAGTGAGCACTGTGGTTTTAATGTTGAATGTTTTATTATGTTTTTATATGTTTTTACCTTCGGCATGGCTGTTGTCCTGCCCTTGTTAGCCGCCCTGAGCCCACTGGGGAGGGTGGGATATAAATGTGAAAAATAAATATAAATAAATAAATAAGATATTGTTTCAGCTATGATATAAGGCCTTAGGAGGCAAAGATACCACACTGAGGATCACTGAGAGTGAAACACATGTTCAGAGGCAGTGTTCATATTCATCTCTGAATTCTAGATGTGGGGCTGGGGGGAGCACACACAACAGGAGGAGTTCTTAGCTTCCATGCCCTGCTTGCAGGCCTTTTGAGGCTACCCGATTGTCCATTGTGGAAAGCAGCATACTGGAGTTTATGGGTCCAGTACAGCAGGCTCTTTTTATTTCCTTATGCACAGAATTCATATTCCACTTTTCCCCCAATCAGAGTCATCAAGACAGCTAACAATTAAATTAAGTACCAAGAGTAAAACATATAGACAAAAAACAGAGACCCAGCAATTAAAAACATAGAATGGTTTTATCCTCACACGAAACAGGAGTGACATATCCAAGTTATCATAGCATCAAGGAAGCACAGTACTAATTTTAGAAAATCAAACATTCCAAAATATTGAAGTTACCTAAGCCTCTAAAACTACTATTTTTGTAAAAGTATAATGCTACTCTGAACTGGCTGCACTGTTCACAAAGGGGAAACACCTGTTCAAATAAAAGCCCACTTTTAAGCAATACCTGTTCATCACTTCTATGATAATCGTTATCTTCTTCCTGCTTCTCTTCTGACGTTTCTTTGTTCGTATTCTCATCTGCTTTTGTTTCCCCTGTTTGAAAGAAAAGCACATTTATGATGAAGTGGAAGACTTTAAAGACGCCAAATTCACTCTCTGCTTTTAAGTAAGCAAGTGTGTCGACTGCATACTAAGAGAGCCATTCAAGCTAAACGGTTTTTTGTGTGTTTGATATGTCGCTGCATGCTTTATTTATTGCCATGGACTTGGGCATTCAGAAGTCAAAAACAGGAGCCTCCAAGACTATTAATTTCAGGTAAGGTTACAGAAATAGTTTGTTGCTTAAGCCTTTGTTGCTTTGAATGTCAACAGTTTGCTAGCAAATCCTCCAGATTTCTCATCAACATGCGTTTATGCATTCTTCAATGACAACACATTAGCTATCAAAGTTTTCTTTGATATTTCAACCATTAAAATTCTTCTTTACTAAGAATGAAGCCCTGAACTAGATAGCCCAGGCTAGCTCTATCTTGTCAGATCTTGAAAGCTAAGGAGGGTCAGCCCTGGTATGTACTTGGATGGGAGACCACAAAGGAAGTCCAGGATCACTATGCAGAGGCAGGCTATGGCAAGCAACCCCTGTTCGTCTTGCCCTGAAAACCCCGCAGGGTCAACATAAATAAGCTGTGACTTGATGGCACTTTCCACCACCACCCTACTAGGAATGGGAAATCTGGAGGCTCAACATCAAATCAGGCCCCGGAAGAATTTCCAGTTTCGCTCCTAACAGACCCACAGTTTCAGCTAGGATTTCAAGCCTTGCCCTCCTTTCCTCCCTGCTCTTGCCCTATACATAGACATACACCTGAGACACTGCCTGCCAAACTGAGACACTGTGGGGCAAAGGGCTTTTTATCCCATCTTCTCCAGCAACAGAGGCGGTTCTCTTTTGTTATGTACCTCAACTGCTTACGCCCCCATGCAAGCAAAGACACAGGTAAATGGTAATAAGCAACTGAGGAAGGACTCTGCAGGGGCTTTTGCAGGTATTCATGCGGGCAGAGAAAGGATTTAAGAGCCCTTTCTCCTTAGGAGTACATCCGTGCATGGAGCCCTTCAGCCCTTGCTCAGTTCATCATAAAAGATCAATTGCCAACCAGGTCTCAGTATTACGCTCTGCTAATTGAGGAACCAATATTTCCTAGAGTCTGAATGCAATATCCCTATATTTTATGTTTACAAACTAAATCCCATTTTAAAAGCCTTGCAACTAGGACAGTATGGACACTACCCTCAATGCCAAGAGGAAAGGCAGGATACAAATATTTTAATTAATTAATGAGTAATGCTCTTCCAGAGGCTAAAGAGCAACCCGCAACACCAGCGTGATCTGTGCAACATCAGTATCTCGATAAATCATGCTGGAGTAGTAATCTGCATGCCTAATCTTAAATGCCCCCTTTGCACAGACTGCTTTAACCCATTTCTTGCAGCAGTGTGAATAAAGCATGCCTCTATTCCTGCCAAGGGAAGTACAAAAATCCCAGCGCCTGTTGAATCGATTATGATCTCTACACCAGAAAATCTTTACATATAAGGATCCCAGGGCCAAGTCCTCTACTTCAGCAGCAAATGGGCCATATAAACATGCTGGATGGAAAAAACCAAGTATTGTATTCGAAGCATGCTATGAACCCTTGGAAGTCAGGAAGCCAACGCAAGCACTGCTTTTCAACTAGGCCTGCCAGGTATTCCACTGGCTGGCAGCCCCCAGGCCCCCCCTCCACCACTTCATAGGGTGGCAGAAGGGAAATGCTGGGGAAATCACCGTTGCTCCAACGGTATGACATCACTTCCTGCACAAATCCAGAAGTGATGTCACACCGTTGGAGTGATGGCGTTTTAAACATACCCACCCCACCCAGGCCTCCTGTCAGTTGCCAGCGCTTTGCTGGCAAACCCAGTTTCCAACCCATGGGAAAATACACTCATCATACCATACACGCCATGGTCTACCTGCTCCTTAAGCTAAGGCTATTCAGTGAAACACAAACTATTTCAAACCAACAAGAAACACCTTTCCTTTGGTAAACACAAGGATTCTTTTAAAACGGCAAAACACACACAATGTGGATCGCCCAGGCAAGCCCGATCTCGTCAGGTCTCGGAAGCTAAGCGGGGCCGATCCTGGCAGGTACTTGGAAGGGCGACCTCCAAGGAATACCAGGGCCAAGACGCAGAGGCAGGTTATCAAGCCACTTCTCAGAAACACCCCAGCCCCACTAGGGGTCACCAGAAGTCACCATGACTTCCAGGTTTGCAAGCACATACACACACACACAAAAGTACTCACATAAAAACAGTAAAAAAATAAAAGCCTGTTTACCATTACGGTGAGAATCTAAATGTTGCTTGGCCGAGCACATTTCCCCTTTGATGTCACCTGGTACTTCCATGCCCAATTTGTGGTAGAATTCCCTCTGCTTCCTCATTTCCGCTGTTTAACATTTTAAAACAGTGTCTTCTGTTAAGATCAGTGGACTTCACCAAGTCAAGTAAACAGTTCACTCTTCGTGCAGCTTCAGCAAATGTATCAAGAGCCCCCTCTAATGTTTCCCTGATTTTCTGCAGCTAATTCCCTTAGCAGCAACTTGACCCGTTTTCTCTAACCTTCAACCACTTCCCAAAGGGTGCAATTCTATTTTTGGACCAAAAATTACACATTACTGTTCTCTGTCCCATGCAGTAATCCAGCTGTACATGGTAAGATTTACAATTAAGACAGGGAAGAGTCTTCCCCACTTCTGTCAGATTTTTTTCTTAATGCAACTTTTCAGTCAAAAATAGTAATGACATTTACTATACACGCATTCTCAAAGGCTTACAGTATTCCCAGTGAACTAAACTACAAAGAAACTGGACTTCACAATTTACGAAGTTTCTACTAGCAAACAATTTGCACATTTTAAAAACTATTATTCTTAAAAAAGAAAAGCACAGAAATCCATATTCTGAAAATAATTTGATTCCCATCTTTAAAAACATGTTGTATTTTAAATACCAGAGATCTGAGGGATGTTCACTTGTACCAGTAATTCTTGACATTTTAGAAGGTCCAATGGGGCTTTTTTGTTTTTATATCTGTTTCTTACACATACCATTCTTTAGTATGTGTGCTTTACTGCTGTATGGTGGAAATGAGAATGAAATCTAAACATTTACCACCTTTTATTCTATATATTTTTAAAAAATACTTATTACAGAAATAAAATACTTCTCACACAGTATATCAGTACTTCCAAGCTTCCAGTACATGAAGGGATTCCATTTTTCCACCATGTTTACACTACTGAACATATCATTTCTTTCCTGTACTGCATTCACTGATACATTCATTTCTGCTATATCCAAGACTCTGAAAAACCATTCTGAGACTGTACAGATATTGTTTATCATTATTGTGGCAACACCACTTCTGCAGCAACTTGCAGAATCTGAAATAACAGCTATCTGATAGTCCTCATTAACATAATTTACAATAAAATGCATCAGTCTTCAGGCATATCCCTGTAATTTGTGAAGTGACACCAATAATGTGGATCCAATATACCCAGAAACGGGAGCATTTCCACCATAAACGAAGCCTCTTAAAATCTTAAGAATTACTGCTAAATGTCAGTATCTTCCAAAATTCTCATACTGATAATAACAAATGCACAAACAAGGATATGGTCATGAAAAATTACTCTGTCTGCAGTCACTTGCTGGCTAAAGCAAGTGGAAACATAATCAGACATGATGTCATATTACCCACAGTTCCATGCCTTCCAAGCTCCACCCAGAAGAGCTTTAACCATGTGTAACGTTCACTCAAGAGCACAGCACAACTTACCTTCTTGAAGACCTGGAACAAGTTTGTAAACAATATCTTGCATCGTTCTGTCATGACTGGCGAGAAGAAAGAAAAATAGAAGTCAGAAAGTACGTTCTGCCATGAAGAATGTCTGCGGTTAACACTGAATGTTGGATTGAGAGCTGAAGTCTCTCATCTCTTGACCCTAGGATGCGTGCGGCTTAAATAAAAGCAAAGACGGGTGATTTCTCACACCAGTTTGAGTCTAGAGCCCGTTTGCGGGGAGGGCGGGGTATAAATACAACTAAATAAATAAACAAATAATCAAATAATGAGAAACAGAACGAGTTAAAATGCAACTATGAACTGGCTTGCTAACTAGAAAAGCAAGCCCAGTGGATCTCTGTGCATTTCACACCCTTACTTACCCAATATATTGTAGCGGATGGCTCTGGTGTATGACAATTCTGCATGTGGGACAGGTGTTGTTTTCCTCCAGATACTTTACCAAGCAACTCCTGCAGACTGTTTACAGAAGAATTCGTGGTGGTCAGAATGTTTACAGGGATACAGTGTTAAGGGCCCTACTTTTGAGCAAGCACTTAAACCGTGCAAAACCTCTTTACCAGTACAGCCAAGTCAAACCAAAACCGTACAAACCAAAACATATACAAAAGTGTGTATATATACAAAACAGTACGCATTACACTGTATTCACCTTCCAGCTTTAACAAGCAAAAGCACCCAGTAAAGTACTTATGTTCATTAAGAAAATATTGCATGGTTCCAACGAACTTCTGGTTCTTTTCAGGATATAAAGAAATTATCCAGCACACTGGTCTGTTAACAGGGACTTGAAGAATACCCAAGAACTGGAGAGGGGGAGCTGTTCATTCAGTTTTAACTTTAAGCAGTGTGGAATTGCATTCATGTGTCTAGTACAGACCTTGATCTGGACGGCCCAGGATAGCACTATCTAGCTAAGCAGGGTGGAGTGATTAACACAAGGAATTCACTGCCACAGGAAGTGGTGGCAGCTACAAGCATGGACGGCTTCAAGAAGGAATTAGATAAGCATATGGAGCAGAGGTCCATCAGGGGCTATTAGCCACAAGGTATAGATAGGGGCTCTGGGGCAAGTGATGCTCTGTCTTCTTGGTGCTTGGGGGGGGGGTCAACAGTGGGAGGGCTTCTAGTGTCCTGGCCCCACTGGTGGACCTCCTGATGGCACCTGGTATTTCTGGCCACTGTGTGACACAGAGTGTTGGACTGGATGGGCCTTTGGCCTGATCCAACATTGGCGTCTCTTATGTTCTTAAGTTCTTATGTTAAGCAGGGCTGGCCCTGGTTAGTACCTGGAGGGGAGACTACCAAGGAAGTCCAGGTTTGTTACATAAAGCCAGGCAATGGCAAGCCACCTCCAAACATCTCTACAGGCTGCGACTTGACAGCACTTTATTACTTCACATTCAGTGTCAATTTGAGTTCTGTATAGGTAGCTAATCTTATTTATAAGGGACTTGCCAAAAATTGGGTTAGGGCTCTCTCCGACAGCAGACGAGATTATTCTGGCATCTCATTCTGTTGGGTAACTGAAGTTCCCTCCAGTAACGATGCTTCTAGCATTTCTCTCTGCCCAGAGCTCCTCTGTGAGGGACTGCCTCTTCCAATAGCCAGCAACACCATAGTGGCTTTGAAAACTTGGCTTCTGCAGTTAAACAGTGCCATCTACATCTCATACAATAAAATGCACCTTTCATCTGTTTTAAGCTCCAAATCAAAAAAGCATGCACAAGGATAGAATTTGCTAGTTCCCTGAACAAGGCCCTCTCAGCCCTTAGAGGGGAGCCCGTTGAGAAGGCGCAAAGAAATACGGGGATAGAAACAACTAGTTACCTAGGTTTTCCATGCATTAATATCTGGCTGAAAATATATGAATGAAGTAGACACATGGCAGGGTGGAGCTCCGAATATAAGCAGAATGTATCAGTCATATACTGATGGTATTACTCTCGCATGGAGGAGTTGCTATGTCTATGCAAGTTTAGAGTCACAAAGCTATTGTTTATTCTCCATTTTGCCCACAGTCTCTACTAATGTAACTAAGGAGACTGATATCGGAAGGCTCCACCCAGGCCAATGTTATAACACTTTCTGGCATCCTCTAAATGAGAATGAGTAAATCATGTTAAAATGGGACTGAGCTCTGCATTCAGCCTCATTAGCAGACAGGCACATATGGCAGACAGAGAGATCGTGAACCATCTGTTTAACTCTTTCAGATATTCCTTACATAATATCCATTCACTTCATTAGTCAATCTAAACAAATTTTAAGCACATGTTATTAACATCAGCCAGTCATCTGTGTCCATCAGTGTAGTATCTTCACTTGCTTCGGATGGGAGAAAGAAGAAAAGTTGAGCTCTCCCAAACACAAGACGTTAGTTACACTGGGGCCTGCTACAGCCACCATCTCCTCTTGGTGTCCATTATTCTTTTCTTTCAGGACAGTTTGCCCCTCCCCTCCAACATTTCCAAAAACTTAATAACATTCCACACCACCTGATCACTCAATAATGCCAGAGCATCAAAAGAGGTTACTTGAGGGGGGGCGGGTATTTGTGTGTGTGTACATGTGTGGCGACCCCTAGTGGGGCTTGGACATTCAGAGCAGTGGTTTGCTATTGCCTGCCTCCGCATCCCAGCCCTGGTATTCCTTGGAGGTCGCCCTTCCAAATACTTCTCACGGCCGGCCCTGCTCAGCTTCTGAAATCTGACGAGATCAGGCTTGCCTGGCCTATCCAGGTCAGGGCAGAAGAAGTTAACTGACGTCGTACTGCTCACCCAGTTTATACACATTCTCCATGCTCCTAGGAAAGAGGCCATGTCACAATACAGAATCTATACTCTGCAAGCAGAAAGGAACTAGAATTGGGGCCTACCTTCCTCAGTAGAAAGTAATACCTGAGTAGGCCAAATGCTTTATCTAAAAATGTTCCTGGAGTCAAACAGGGTTGGACCCCAGACTAAGTTTTCCGAAGACATCATGGAATTGGCCTGCCTCGCCTGCCGCCTCCCCCTGCAGCCCACTGATCTGCATAAAATGCTGTGGGGGTGGGGGGGGCTACTGGACCTTGACAAATGGCACAAGGGGGTCTACAGCAAGAATGGGGAATCAGCAGAACCTGCCAATTTAGTCTGAATCAAACCCACTGTCTGTTCCTAGATGTCTGAATTCCAAGTTCAGTGAGGTCTGGGATAAAGACAAACCTGAATTTTGCTTAGTTGGAACTCAGATGGCAGAGAGAACCACAGCAAGGCCCTCTCTGCCTTACGCACCAGATTTACAACACTTAAGCAGGTCCTATCTTTCTTGGTTTGTTTTATCACAGTTTTATAATGTTTCGCTTTTAACCATTAGCCACATTGGTGGCCCTAAGTAGGCAGAAAAGCAGAGTATGTATTCTGTAAATAAATGAATAAACATGAAATAACATGAAATAAAATAAACATGAAATACTCATATCTTATTCCATCACCCAGCAAAAACAGAAACAAAAAACTTAGCTCTAACACCTTTACCCTACATTTTCTTTAAAAAATTTAATGTCACTATACAAACAGAGATTTCCATACTCACATGTATGCAAGCATTCTGTTACAGTGGTAGCATCAATAAGGTAACCATTGCAAAGACGACAGGTTATATGGGCATTGATGTCCCAAAGCTTAATCTTTCTCGTCAGCATCTTTGGTGTCTGTAAGATAATCAAGACAGCCGAGGTTTTGTTCTAAGATGGCATTTGGCTAGCTGAAACACTTGACACCCAGGACAAGCTTGCCATAAGCTTTCTTGCTTGCAAGACTTTGATAGGAGAAGGTTAGTACAAGAACAAGGAGCATAAAAATTGGTACCCAGAAGGTACATTTCTTTCTTTGTTAACTAGCTGGGGAAAGGTTTTAACAGAGAGCTGGTTCTCCCGAGAGCAGATGAACTGTCTGGGCTGTAACAAAAGTGGTACATTTCTATCCTGCTTTCCCAACAGTTATCTCCTAAGTGGCTTACATCAACTGAGAGACAGACTTTAACATCACACTCACTACCTTTACAAAGAAAGACAAGACACACAAGAATAGATCAGAGTAAAAAGGAAGAGTATGATACCACATTAAACTGCGGGGGGGGGGGCCCTCGCACAATCCAATACTTCTTCACAGCCCATCCATGAAAAAGAATATCCCTGCCCACACAAAACCAGCAGGTCAGGGAGGAAGACTCTAGCCTAGCCTTTCTGTACTTCTACCTTATGTTTGCTTGGGCTATGTGAAAAGTATCTGTCCATTTGGAAGAACCATACTCCCCCCACCCCCGCACTCTGAAATGGTACAGGCCTGATGCTGATCTACCACCTCATTCAGGAAACTGAGGCCAGAAATGTGAGGGTTAAACTTAGATTTTTCCTAAAGATCCACTTATGTCGGTCACTACAGTGCCAGGTATTCATGCAACTGGTTTCCAACTGCTCTGAGAAGAAACAAGCACAATGGACAAACCAAAGAAGCATGTTCGGATGTAGGAGACTCCCTTCGCTAATCTTTCTTTGATCGCCCCACAACACCAGTAGTCGGCCTGTTCTATTGGTGTGCCAACGCTAGAGTCAAAATGTTTCTCTCGGTGTTTAAAACTAAGGGACTTGAGCTCACTATTCTTCGTCAAAGAGGCTATCTTGGCCTCTGATGTCATGAACTGGCATTTTCACGTTAAACGTCCTACCTCCCAGTCACATCACAGAGCTCAGATCAACATGTGAATGGAGGCCATCATGCAACGAGTTCCCCATTTCATGTTACCAAGTCACCACTGATGTTGGGCAGGAGATTCAAAGAGGCTGTGATCCTAAGGATGATTCTCTGGGAGTAAGCCCCACTGAATAACATGGGACCTTCCTTCTGTGTAGGACTGCTTAGGGGCACCCTTTCAAGTGACGGTGAATACTGCTTCACAGTGAAATCAGGTGGAGAAAAACTTGCCACAGGCTTCCCATTCCTCATGACAAAAGCTCTGTCTAGAGAAAAGGAAAAAGAGACTGGATCCACCCTTCACTACCTGAAGGAGTCTCAGAGCGACTTACAATCTCCTTTCCCTTCCCTTCCCCACAACAAACACCCTGTGAGCAATGCTCCCTCTAAGCTGTGGAGTCTTGTGAGCAAAAATTCAACTATGTGAGCTGCTGGCATTAAAGTTGTGAGTACATTAGTTGGCTCTGGAGCCATCCTTCCTGAGCTAGGATAAAAATGTATGAGCTGGAGGCTAAAAAACTGTGAGCTAGCTCACACTAGCTCAGCTTAGAGGGAACACTGCCTGTGAGGTAGGTGGGGCTGAGAGAGCTCTCTTGAGAACTGCCCTTGAGAGAAGAGCTCTGAAAGAACTTGTGACTGACCCAAGGTCATGCCAGCAGCTGCATGTGGAGGAGTGGGGAATCAAACCCAGTTCTCCCAGATTAGAGTCTGCACTCCTAACCACTACACCAAGCTGGCTCTAGACTGGCTGTTATTATCACAAAATACGTGTGCTAACAGGCCTCTGGATACTCATCATGAAGGGTCCTTCTCCTCTGAGGAAAGGAGAACATCTTGAATGGGTGATTCCCACCATTCGATTAAGGGAGACGGGAACTAATTTTTTAGCTTCCTGTCTCTGACCTTGTGGGAGTCACCCTCTCCAGTTAGCCAACTCCAGCCACAGTCTATAGCCAAGTATAATCAAGGAGAAAAAAGGAAAAGAACAGGAGAGAGGAAGGCCAAGACAAGAAGAGGAATCTGCATGACATCTTCCTAGCAATGACTCCAGGAGGGACAAGATGCCCTCCTTTCCTCAGAGGAGAAGGACCCTTTATGGTGAGTATCCAACGGTCCGTTCTCCCTCTGAGGTGGAGGACATCTTGATTGGGGCCTGCCAGAGCAGTGCCCTCATTTACTGGGTGAGATGGAGTCGTCATCACTCAAGATATTTTTGCAGCACCCATCAACCAATGGCACCATCTGCTGAGCTGAGAGCATTAATCTTGAAATGTCTGACAAAGGTAGACAAAGAAGACCATGTCTCCGCTTTGCATATCTCTTCAACAGATTCATGCTTTTTGAAGTACTCTTCCAGGTTTTTTAATTCAAAAATGACTGTGCGAGCCTTCCGTCAGGTCAGCGGCTTCCAATTTCGTCTTTCATATGGATTTTTAATCCAATCAGAAATCCATACCAAACCAGCTGCTTGGTAATATAGCTGGATATTAGGTACAGCTAGGCCTCTTCTTTTCTTCCCATCCTGCAATACTTTAAATCTGACTCTTGGTCTCTTGCCATTCCATATAAATGCATTTATTTGACTTTGCCAGTTCTTCAAGTGTTTTATCAGGAATCTCAATTGGAAAAATTTGAAATAAAAAGTAATGTAAAAGTAATGTTATTAGAGACAGTTTACTGAAAACTTGGTGGTCATTAAATACATGAATTAGTCCACCCACATCACCACCAATAGATGCTTATTATGATAAATCTGAGAGGGAAAATAACGATTTCGTAACATATCAAGATATGATTAATACACAAGGGGAAATTAAACCCTGGCTGACTATTAGTGCAGAAGGGGAAAAGATACAATGGTTAACAAATTTCCAACTGACACTGAGACTTAAAGAAATAATGTGTGGAGGAAGAGACAGACTGAGAAACCTGACAGATGTTGAAAAGATAGTACTGAATAAAAAATATCAACTTCTAGGACACATTTATAAATTGTTACTTCAATATGACACAGAAACAGAATAAGTCAAGATGTGTATGGTGAAATGAAACTTTGATAAAGAGATCTCATTTCAACAATGGGAAAATTTGTGGACAAAGAATATAAAATGTACAGCGAGTCAGGCACTTAAGAGAAAATTGGTATAGGATGTTCTTTTGCTGTATATCACTTCAAAAGATATAGAGAAAATGGACAAAATTATTTTGGAAAATGCTGGGAGTATAAAGAGATTGATGGTACCTTCTTACAGGGGTGTCGAACTCATTTGTTATGAGGGCCGGAGCTAACATAAATGAAATCTTGTTGGGCCAGGCCATGAGTGTCATAAAATGTAATGCCAAGTAGCAGAGATATAAACTTTATAAAAGACACAAATACAGTTAAAGATTTTTAAAAACTTTAAATTAAACATGCTTAAAACATTAGCACTCTTGCAATATTTTGTTTATTTAACAGTATCTGATAAATGACACCTCTTGCTCTGAAATTGCATCAAAATGTCTGTGCTGTTGCAATCTTGAGTATGCTGTTCAAGTGTGTATCTGTAAGCTGCAAACCTACTTTTGATTTATTGACATTCGCCACAGAAATCTCATGCTCAGAGTTCTGAGTCTAGGACCCAGGTTAAAACATGAAATGACTGAGTGATTAAGAGAGTCTGGCAAAGCAAGCTATGATGCAGCAGCAGCAGCAGAATTGAAAGCAGGAGATAGCCAGTTCCACTGCAGGCCTGATAGAAGCTCTCTGGGGGCCTGATCCGGCCCCCGGGCCGCATGTTTGACACCCCATTTCTATTATATGCGGTGGTCTTGTAAAAAGACCAGTAAATACTAAAAAGAACTACATGCTGAAATTCACAAAATTTTGAACATTAAATTTGCTATGCAACCAGAGACTATGCTATTGGGAATTCTTCCCACGAATAGTGAGAGAGCAACGCATGAACTCTTCCAATATATGTTAACAGTGGCACGAGTAGTATTTGCAGCTAAATGGAAAATGGAGTTTTGCCCAAATCTTGAAGACTGGAAATATAAGCTGGAGTAATATGCTATTATGGTGAAATTGATGAACCATATAAATAATAGACCAAGTAGTGAATTTGAGGATAAATACAGAACTTTTAATACTAATTATAGATAGAGCTTTATGAGCGATACAATATTGTGTTTTGATTATTCAGTTAACCAATGATTACCAATTCTTCATAGTCATATAATTTTCAACTGTTACAAGGAATTTTTTTATCTGTTATTTCCTTGTTTAAAATCATTTTAAAATGATAGAATGGAGGTAAGCAAAGGGTTGTGGGCCAATATTCTTCCTCCTGCTCCAGTGAATAAAGGCTTTCCAATAAAAGTGTTATATACACTGTTAGTAGACTTTCTTCTAGATGCCAATTAGGTTTCTGTCATACCTGAGTCATATCCAAAATGTAGGAAGTGTCTCCTCTCAACTTCCAAGCAGTCAACTTCCAAACCCAGCCAGGGTCTGGATGCCAGATGGGGCCCTGTTGCAGGACGTCTGAGGACACTGGTAACTTCCAGGGGCATTCTACCCCCATTTCCTCAAGTGTCAAAAACCAGGCTCTGCATGGCCAATGTAGAGACACCAGAATAACATCCGCTTGCTGATCCTTGATTTTCTGTAGTACCTTTGGAAGAACTGGGAGGGGGGGGGAGTGAAAAGTAGTTCCTTGAGCCACAGAGATGTTAGTGCATTCGTCGCTTTTGTTCCAGGGTGATAAAACCTTGTAAAGAAGCACCTTGGTTGACGGTTCTCTGAAGATGCAACTAGACCAACTTGTGGGTTCCCAAATCATTCAGTGATATGAAGAAATAACTCCCTCTTCAGAGACCACTCCCCATCCCATATGGTCTGTCCACTGAGCCAATCTCCTTTGTTGTTAGCCGACCCTTTGATGTGTTCTGCTGAAATTGATGACAGCTCCTTCTC